GGGGGCAGGAGTGGGGGTGTTTGGGAAAGAATGAGGAGAGTTCCTGATTCAAATCTGGAGTTTTAGAAGATCGAGGCAAGGTGGATGATAAATAAATAATTACATTGTATAAAAACATGAGAAAATTGGTATTGTAAAAAAGTATAATATGGTAATAAGGGGGTGCAAGAGTAGATGTGTAGGACTGTGGGTAGGAGTGACAAACGTGCGGGTCGGATCGGATATGGTTAGGGTCAAAAACGAGTAATGAAAAATGGATTAATTATTTGATCTGACCTATATTTAATACGGATAAAAAACGGGTATTATCCATGATTTCTTGTATATGATCACTTTTGGGATAATTCTTAGTCTTACTAACTTGAGGAACCCCCAATTTGAGGTTTTATAAATGTAAAAGTTAGACCCATTGGTTACTCATCGGTTATCCATTTTTTAAATGAATAATATGGTTTTTATCCATATTTGACTCGTTTTTAAAAGTTCATTATCCAACCCATTTTTTAGTGGATAATATGGGTGGTTAACTGTTTTCTTTTAACCATGTTGTCACCCCTAACTGTGGGGTTTGTAGTAATAGTACCACGACCAAGCAGGCAAGCTTTGTCTAGATGGAATAGGAGGCTAAATAACTAAAGAAGGATGGTGCTACTAGTCGTTTGGTACGATGGATAAGTAAAAATAATTTTGGAATAAAAGTTTTATATCGTCTTATTCCTTGTTTGATTACTAATATTGGAATAAGTTAACTTAAGATTAAAAATAGTATCGGAATAACTTATACCCAAGGGCGGATGTAGAGCAACTGGTATGGGTTCCTTTGAACCCAGTAGTTTTTGCATAGACCCAGTATTTATATTAAAAAATCATTAAAAGTATAAGAATATTTAGTTTGGAACCCAGTTCGTTGGTCCAGTTATCATGTAGAGTAACTTGATATTGTTATAGGAACCCATATAAGTTATCTCAAGATAAAACAATATAATTGACAATCTAAGGATTAATACAACGTATCAAACAGTCAATAAGAAATAATATCAGTATATCTAGTTCCAACATCGACATAACTAATTTCAGAATAATTTATCTTAAAGCCAAATGACGGTGCGTTATGGAGTTCTATGTGTCTCTCTTGAGTTTTTTTTTTAATTCCCACCCTCTAAGAGCTCCCCACCTTGCTCTAAGATATACAGGTGAAGGTTATATGTATGCAAAAGTTTGGAAGGAGACTAAACAAATAGTGAAATTCCTCCAAATATCTCACTTTGAGTCTTGTGAATTGAATTTTGTTTTGGTAAGGAAAAACTATCTCCGTTAGAAAGTGTAATTACTCATGGTGAATCCAATATAAAAATAATAAGAGATTAAGTTCTAAGACCAAATGGGCAATTCAGTGTACAAAGTATTACGTACACATATTGGGTCAGGAGAAGGCCCCCTAACACAAGCGTTAGCAATTGCTTCCACGACTGAAACAAGAGTGGAGCTAGCCCATCAATTACGGGTTCGGCCAAACTCAATAGTTTTGTTCCAAAGACGAAATTTATCTTCTGAAATTCATTGAATATATACTAATTATTAATTTAGAACTCATTAACTTAAAATATTTAGAACTCTGAACCCTTAACCTTCAAATCCTGGCTTCGCCTCTTGATTCGAACTCGTGACCTATAAATTATACGGAGATAATTTTACTGTTGCTCCGGTGAAGCTTCCAAGCTTCGAACTCAATGAAGCGCCTAAGCGAAAGAACTACACAACTATTTTTAACTTTTATGACATACGAGATAAAATATATTTACCCAATTAAATTATTTATAAAGTAATTACAAATCAATTTCTTATGATAAGTCTTAATTGATAATTTCATAAGCTAATAATTAACTTTCTATAATAGTATAAAATTAAAAAAAAATTGGATTGGAAGGAAAAGGAAGATAAAGGAAAGGCAGAGGCAGTCACAGAATACCCGAGAAGAGCGCTCTTTTGGACCAATCACACTTTTCCACGTACCTTTTCACACCTTTGCTTTCATTGACCAGCTATTACATTTGTTATTTGTCTTTTCTATAAAGTTACCACTTGCAAAATTTTCCTTAAATTATTACTACTATGATCTTTTTCATGGAAATACTAAGATTATGATAAAGAAAATTTCATTTTTTATGTGTGGGCACGAGAGCTGATGGGTGTAATGTCAAAGTCTGTCCAGGTAGGATCAAGTTAAAACAGGATAAGAGAGTTAGCTTTCTGTTGAGTGAGCCGGAACAGGAGCGGATGCACACTAGAACAAACCAAGTTTAGCTGGCTCAATACAGTATAATTTTTCGGTTAAGGGGGTTCGAGTGAACCTCCTTGCGCCCCCCTAAATCCGCCCTGAGAACAAACCAAGTTTAGTTGGCCCAATAGTACAGAACTGCAAACACTTACTAGGATAAGGTATAGCGGGAATTGAATTCACATCTCGTTGAGCTGCTCCATCAAGCACCCCTTTCGCAAAGCTCAATTCTCACCTCTTATATTAGATCACAAATCTCATCATTTTAACGTAAAATTTATTTCGAGATTAGTAGGATATATATTAAAAAAATTCATGTCATTTTATTAAAATGCTATTAAGCTTGAAACAAAAATGCTAAATCATTTATTTTGGATTAATTAAAAGAAAAGTGTCACGTAAAATAGGATAGAAAAAATAATATTTACTCTGTATATGTTTATGTGTAGTAAAATAAGGTTAAATATATATATTTTTAAAATCGTTCAACTTTCTCCCCTATATATAATTCGAGAGGAAACAGTAGATGTATCTCTACATTTGACAGAATCGTAACTCTGTTAACTCTATTTTGTTTGTTTCTCGTTCGGTATCCGATACTCACGATAAAGTCCGATTATATTTGAATTCGTACCCCGTAAGACTTCATTCGTAAGAAAGCGCTCCTACCAAAGATTGAATCCCAACTATATCTCTATACCTATTTGACAGAAGGGCTACAATTTCACAGTGTCCTTAACTGAAGCACCTAAAAAGCTGTGACCTAAATAATTTGTCAGTGTACCTAAGTTCAATGCATCCTATCGCTATTCTAATTGCAAAAATTACTGCTTTCACCGAGTTAACTGCACTGCTAGTAAATATTGATTAGCAATTATTTGAGTTGGTAATGAAAGTACAAGAGAATATGGGGTGAGTTCAATTATCAAGAACATTTTAATTAATGGTTGATCTTTTTTTCGGTTTCTTATTCGGTATTCGTGTCGGGTAGAGCCCTATTCGGGGGTAACGTTCCCTATCAAGAATTTTTTCATATCCAAGGGTCAAACCTGAGACCTCTGATTAAGGGAGGAGTCGCCCCATCCATTGCATCATATTCTTTGGCGGTATGATTGATCTTGTTGCTTGTTTTACACAACTAAATGAGACTGTTGTTTAGTATTAGGGTGGAAGGTTAGTAAGTAGTCGAGCATTTCTTTTTTCATACCAATAGTTTTAGTATAATTTTTGTATTATTTTACCCTTCGATTTCTATTACTTCATGTGTTTCTTTTTCTTCCGTTATCTTATATATCTTGATGTTGTCTCTACTTCTTTTGCATGGCTTCTCCACTAGAGTATTTCTTTTTCAATACTGTTGTGACCAAGGGAGGATTTATAAGGTAGTTTATGGGTCATGTGAGCCAATGGTCTCTCCGTCAAACTAGGTATTTTATATATGTATTTTCTAGAATTAGTCAGATATTATCTATTGACACACATATTCCACAAAGGCTTAATAGTGCATTTCGTTGGATACTAGGTTATTTACCCAAAGGAACACCGATCAATTCCCGATTAATATATTTTCTATCTTATTTTTAGTGGTGCACCCATATTTTAGAAATTGTAGATACGCCTCTGGCTGTGACTATATTTTTCTTGAGCAGATGTTCAACCGGAAATAGCCTCTTTATATTCACAAGGTGGGAATAAGGTATGCGTACAAACTACCCTTCACAAACTCCACTTGTGAAATTATACTTAGTTTGTTATTATTATAAACGAGACTATTATTTGTTAAGCAACCATGTGATTTGAATTTAAATGAATCGGATCAGTATATTTTAGATACGAAATGACTGCAGCAACACTAATAAATTCAGTGGAATTTCATAAGTGGACTCTGAAAAAAATAGAGTGTACGCAAACTTTACTTTTAACCTAAAGAGATAGAGAAGTTATTTTTAGAAGACTCTCGGCTCGAGAAAATATGAAATGAATAAAGCAAAGAAAAAGAAATAGGCATAATGCATTTATTACTACAGATCTCCTCTCTCCATTAAGTGGAAAATAATTATCGTATGCAGAAGTGCAATAAAGGAGCTTAATTACCATTGGGGAGAAGTTGTTAATCTCAAATTATGGGCGTACGTATACCTAATCATTATTGAAGTGACTAGCAGTTCATTAATTTCTGTAAAATCGCATTTAATCCTCATTTTTACTCTTCATTTATTGATCTCTGGAAATACTAAATCATACATTCATAATGTTGTAGCTGTTTTGACGGCTCACAAATTTTGAGACCATCTCCATTCCTAACATCAAATTTCACCCCAAAATAGTGTAATACTAAATTTACTTCAATTATTATACCATTTTTTACACCAAATTTTTTCTCTTCTATATTATATTATTATCTTCTATTTACTTTTCATTTTTTATTTCTACAAACTAATACTATCTTTTTTCTTTTTTCCATATTCATTATATATATAATATTTATTCACCACTTATATAATTATTTATTACAAAATTATTTTAAAGGATAAATCAACTAAAATCATTGATAAAAGATAATTAAATAAATATTACATCATAGTTAAATTTAATTTAAGTATCA